CTGTTGTTGAAAAAAATCTAGAGAAGAAGTTTGGAAGGCAGGGTGTGACTAGTAGGATTAAGAAAAGGGGTAGGAGCGGGGGTTAAGAAGGGAAGCATCCAATTCCATATTAGATTGTCAATGATCCACCGGCCAGAGGCACTGAACTGTTTCTTACAGTTTTTGGAGATCTGTCTGGAGTTGTCAGATGTTGTCTTTTACTATACCTGACTGACTGACATAGAAGCAACATTCCTTGCTGAGGAAGAGACAAAGACCACCTTTCTATGTTATTAGTATATCTAATCCTTGCCATTTTGGTAGTTTGGCCGTGAGTCTATTTGGCCCTGGAGGGTAAGGACGGTCTGAGCCACCCACTGGAGATCCTGGATGAACTTAGAGGAAACCGGAGGTAAACAGCTAGGGAAGGCGTCAGTCCTGCTGTTCCAGTGGTGACACCAGTGGTGACACCCAGGACTGCTAGAAAGGGTAGGACTTGAACCACTCATTTGTCATTCTGTGCCACTGTAACCCTGTGATGGAGTCAGCAAGGGTTCTTCACCGGGTACCATCCCTAGTTTTGGAAAAAGGAACACCAGCGCACACGTCCCAGACCACCCACGGGGTAGGCAGTGGTAAACTTGAAGCATTGTAAATGTTTGGGCATAGAGGCTGTGTGGTAGATTAAGGGTTAAAGTATTATTGCAATCTGCGGGATCCAGTGTGCCCACAAAGCATGTTCCTGAGGAGTTAAAGCAGACTGTGATACCAAAGAGAGGGGTGTGGGACCCCCATCCCGATGGGGATACAGCAGCTCAGATGGCGGCCAGCCACATGTGTCCTTAAGATTACCTATGTATAGATTTTGTTTGTTTGCTTTTTGTTTTTTGGAGACAGGGTTTCTCTGTGTAGTTTTGGTGCCTGTCCTGGATCTCGCTCTGTAGACCAGGCTGATCTTGAACTCACAGAGATCCGCCTGGCTCAGCCTCTTGAGTGCTGGGGTTAAAGGCGTGTGCCACCACTGCCCAGCCTATGTATAGATTTTTAAGTATCAACCCTGGTGTTATGAATTTTAAGTTAATTCTTGCTAAAGACTTTACAGATTTTTAATTATACACAGTACGCTTACAAATCTTGAGGTACAGAAAGTTTACATAAGAGTCTTACAAATCTTGAGATAAAATTTATATGTTAGCAAAAATTAAGAGTTAAACTAAAACCAAGAGTCTGAGATGAGTAGCAACAGTCCCCACTGGGAGTCGTTTATCCCTTTATTTTTTTTTGCTCTCCTTTCTCTGTCACACAGTCAAGTGGCTCACTTGACATGGGACAGAGACTTTGGAGGAAACCTTTTAACAAGCATGCTTGGGTCTAGAGGAGAGAAGCCATACCCCAATTCCAGAGTCAGCTTTTAACTGAAATGGGACAGCATAAAACAGTCTAATGCCACTCATATCTAAAAGACACCTGAATCCCTGTAAAACTGAATCCAGTAAGCTGAGAACAAAGAAGGCTTAGAGATAGGAAGTTTCTGACCCGACTATAGAGGGCAGATGCCGCAGGAAACCACCAGTCAGCGAGGAGTAAGGAGTATGTACTGGGTGTGTCCAAGCCGCAGGGGGCCTACTCCTTTGCTTTCTCCTCCTCCTGATCAGTCAGGCTCATGGCTTTCTCTTTGAACAAACTTGCGGATCCATCAATGGTAAGTTATAAGACATAACGTTTAAAATGGGGGGTGGGGGACCAGACAAAAACAAACAAGGCTTGGAGTGGAGAAAAGAGAATGTTTGACCTTATGGATGGGGAATCTCTTTCCATTTCCCCAATTGCTTGATGTGCGTGTAAAGGTCCGAGTAATATTGGAATCTATAGTGCTGTCTCAGTGCGGCTCAGACCACGTGGGATGGGGGGCGGGGAGGGGGCACAGGCACCAGGAGCGCCTATCTGAGTCACAGTACCAATGTGTTACAGCTCTGAAGGGAAGGAAAGGTATCCTGGCAGTCAGAAGCCAGGGAATACCACACACCAAAACCCACGCAATTTTTTATTTATTTATTTATTTATTTATTTATTTATTTATTTATTTATTTATTTATTTATTGGAAAAACCACAGGATGGCTGCCTATGCTCCAGAGAGAAGCAGCCCAGAACTAAGCAGGAGGCAGGCCTTATATAGGGTTTCTTAGGGTGGGATGGGGGGGTGGGGGTGGAGCTTTCCAGGGTAGCCTGGGATTGGTGGGATTTTGTGGCCTGATCTTGGGGCAAGCTCAGGGATTGGTGGGATTTCCAGCTCCACTTGGCTGCCTGCATCTGGAGGGGCTGGATCCAGCTGTTCTGGACACTCGAGAATTCTGAGGGGTGAGGCCTGACAGTTGGAGGTCCTCTGGTCTCTCACTTGCACCTTGAAGGGCTTACACTTCCTAACCTCAGCACCTTTCCCCTTTCCTTCCTCATCTCCACGAACCTCTCTCTCCAGCCTTCCAGCATTTGTTTGGCTCTACAGAGCTGTTATTTGGGGGCTAAGACGGCCTGATGACTTCAGTTTGATTCCTGGAACCCCCATTTGAAGGCGAGAACCTGGAAGTCCTCTGACGCCACATGGGCATTCCAACATAGCAACAACAGCAATGATAGAAGTCATTTGCTTAGTCAACATGCCAGATCCTCAACAGGCACAGTGGTCCAGCATTTTGACACTGACACCTACCCTTGGCTGCAGCCTGCAGGCCATATATTGTACTTGCTGGAAAGTTCCCACTTCCCTGGCCCTTCTGTCATAGACACGATAGTAGTATCACTTTTCTTTCAAGCCCAAGTACAGGCCTATGTGTGAAATAACCCTTTTCTACATAGACCTTATAGCTTTAAAATACTGCAGGAAAACTGACGATCACAGTCCACAGAGCAACCAAAAATACTTCGTTGCTAAACTCCTCCCCCAGCTCTGGGTGCTTGTATTAGTGCTGATGCATAGAAACTGCACTGCTAAAACGTAACTCATGAACTGTCAAGAGACATGATATTTATTGAATCTAAGAATAAGGAAAACAAGTAGAGTCCTGGCTTCAGCAGCAAGCTTCCTGAAGTAGAGAAGTTTGGGGAGTGGGATCCATGAAGATGTCCTATTATTATCCAAGCAACTTGAGAAATGTGAATGTTTGATGTAATGGTATTGCATCAAGGTCAGGATGTCTGTGAGGAGGGGTATCGTGCTGTGATTTTAAGTAGATGTTTGATGAATTCCAATTAGTGCTTTTTTTTGTTTGTTTGTTTCATTTTCATTTTTGTTTTTTGAGATAGGGTTTCTCTGTGCAGCTTTGTACCGTTCCTGGAAATCACTATAGCCCAGGCTGGCCTTGAACTCAGAGACCCGCCTGGCTCTGCCTCCCAAGCGCTGGGATTAAAGGTGTGCACCACCACCGCCTGGCCTCAATTAGCTTTTCTAAACATTGGAAAGTAACACATAATTAGTACTTCAGATACTACCAAAGATACCAAATGAAGTAAAAGGCATACCTCACCTCTACACATTGCTATATGTAAATACAGCTCTTCTTTGTGTATTATTTTCCTAAATGAATTCCTAAATGATTCCAAGGAATCCTGGAACTGGAATGGGTGATTCAAACTTATGCTGAAGAAAGTTATCTGTTGCTTGTTTGTATTTATTACTTGTTTGTCTTTACTATTTACCATTAGTCAAGGAGTAAGGTTCAAATACTTTTAAAATGCAGGCTACAGGTCACAGAAAGCATGCCTAGTTTTTAGGTTAATGTCAAAGAATTTTCTGTAACAATTATTATTCAAAGATGCTTAGTAACAGTCCTTCATAGAATGAAAAAATAAGACATATATTTTCATTCATTTCATGATTCCCATCTATCTTGACTCTTATCAGTCCTGAACCTTTACTAACCAGTGCTTTTATTCATTGTTTTACCTTTAATTACCTGGCCTTCATTCCCTCACTTTTAGGTTCATAACATAATCTGTATAAGATCTTTAGGAATCAACATCCCTTTTTAATTTACTATCTCATCCTGATATTTATTATGAAATTGACAAATGATAATCATGGACTTGGTACCATGACAGCAACAGCTTATTTTGAGAATTTAAATCCAAATCCTATGGAATTACAGCTCTAACATTTAGACAGTTCATCTCTCTACTTCACTTTTGGGACCTACCTGCAAAGGAGATGGTAAACATCACAAGGATTAGGTTAATGAGATCCAACCAGGCTAACTTCAACTCTACCTGCCACTTAGCTAGTTAACCCAGCTAAGATCAACACACTCTTCCACAACTCCAGTCCTGTTTTGCATGTGCTACAGACTCATACTTGTTGCATATACCTTGTTTTTAAAAGCTATAAATGTTTCTTTAAATGAGTGAGCAGAATTGAGGAGTAAGAAGGTCTAATAGGTCTAGCTTTCACACTGCAATGAACCAAGAAATGAAACTCATTAAGAGAAAACCAGAGAAGGAACATGAATATAACACCCTGGTATTCTGTACCTAATACTCTGAACACATTTTCACGTTTGTGAGTAAAATCAGCCTACTTTCTAAGCCTACAGGTTTTAAGTTGGACATTCCCCTCCATATCTTCCCATCATTATGACTCACAGGGTACATTTAAGTCTCCTAAGAACTTTGTGTATATGGTTCATGTGTGTGCATACATGTGAAGGCCAAAATCTGATGCTGGGTGTCTGTCACTATTTCTGAGGCAGTGTCTGATTCTATAAGACAGTCTGGCTAGCAACTCCAGAGTATCCCATTTCCGTCCTCTCAACACTAAGTTACAGGCAAAAACCACAACGCCCAGCTTTTATGTGGGTCCTCATGTTTGCAAGGCAAACACTGACTAAGCCATTTCCCTAGGCTCCTCTTCTGAGAGTTTGTTACGTAAAGATTCCCATTTAACTACAATGGAGCAGAGGTTCTTTACAAAACACACCTACCACTAGTGAAACAGGCATGGTGTCTATAAAGAAAATGCCAGTAGACAATATGGTAGCAATAGGCACACTTTATTAAGCTTCCTATTAAGTTGTTGGGGTCATTTGCTGCTACAGCGCAAGTTATAACTCGAATGGTATCACGAACAATTAGGATACACATCAAGCATTTTCTGAGAGCAGCTTCTGTATCTTGATCACTAAATGGAATGGTTCTTCAGAACAGTCCCTTACCCTATATACAGAAGAAGAGAAAGTAAGGATGCCACAGTGGTATTTCAATGTAACCAACAAAACAAAACAAAAACAAAACACATTTTATAGTCAACTTGGCATACATCATTGACATGTAAAAATTACAAATGAATTTGCAGTGAACATTTGTATAAGAACATTGCATGTAGGAGAATAAATTCATGCTGAATATATTATGGCCACAGAACAATACTAAAAAACATTAGAGTCCAACTGCTAATGGTGTCATAAGAAAGGAAATATACTATATAATCACATCTCACTATATAATCTCATCCCCTAAATGCTTAACCTAAATTTTACATGTGATTCCTTTGTTTCATTTCAGAGGCTATTTCTACCTATGCAGGTAGAGTAGACTAGAAGAAATGCAAACCTAGGGCCAAAATGAGAATACTACATTTCACTAAATCTGCTATACAATAAAATATGTATTTTCTATTCCAAAAATGTCCTGAGTATTTAGTTTCATTTGAAAAAAAAAGGTGGTAACTACAATGGCAACATATAAGTCACGTTATTATTATTATTACTATCATTTTAAACAAAATAGCTGAGAAGGTAGCCACTGGGAATGAAGAAACAGAACGCTGTTACGTTAATCAGGACTTTAGTGCAAATACAAATATGGGGAGGTTGCTGTTTACAATGCTGCTCCTGTTCAGAACCATTGAACTCGAGGGAGTTTCTGATAGTCCCTGAGAACAAAGTCTGGCAAGAGACCTAACATCTATAATGGATGCTTCCTGACTGTCTTTCCCTCCTCTAACCTTAGATGATCACATTATACTTAAAAGTTTTCTGGACACTCTTCAAGGTGTGTGCATACACTGCCCAGAATAAGGGTTTTAATGTTAGAAGATCTTTGGATTAACTGCCCGTGTATAATGATTACATGAATATCCATGTATCTTGGTATTCTTTACTTCCTAAAAAAAACAAAAACAAAACTTGGCTTTAAAATTTTTCTAAAAGACAAAATAGTTTTATGAACCTCAAGTCTGATTAATCACTTGTCATTTTTTCTGTAAAGTATGAAAGCCTAAAGTTCAAGACATTTATGTGAAAACTATTCAGCTATTCAGAAACATGAACACAGATTTGTTAAATAGGATCGATCATTCACCAAATGACCTCAACCTAACAGAGGTCCCAAACAACTGCAAACTTCCACCTCCGCAAAGTCACACCAGCTCAAGTAGAATGGAGTGTGTACCTAATCCGGTTTCCAGAGTTCCTTTGGGAACTGCACCCCCTTTCTCACCCCCCCCCCCACGTCTGCTATTACTATTTTAAGTCTCTGGTGTTAAAAAGCTGGTCACAAAGGACTAAGGGAAAGACCAGCTATTAAAGGAGTCAAACAGCATATTAGAATCTTAGACTATTCATACAATTTAGGTACCAGCTTAAGCTAAAGAATTAAAAGGGAAGGGGGCGCTCAGATAGGCCAGGTAGGCCTTGAATTCCAAATCTTTCTTGCTCCACTTCCCCAGTGCTGAGATTAGAGGTGTGGCCACCCCCCCCCCCAACTGAAGATTACTTTCAAATGTACACTAACTTGGCAGCTTTTGTTTTCTTAGTGATCTTTGGGACCTAATCCTGACAACCACAATGTGGGCTTTTTATATGACTAACCCTGAGTTTTATTTAGAGGAAGGGAGTAGCTGCAGCACATGTGATAAAACAAGCACTTTACAGATGAGCACAACAGCACTACTACTCTAAGTACCACAGCAATGAAACCTAGATTATAATGCCGAAACTAAAAAGGAAACACACACTAAATGAGAACTGAAAAGATCTTTTATGAGACAGAAACCTTGGCTCATGTCTTCCGGCTGTCATCATCTTCCACTGAGCTGCACCTAAAACACAAAGAACAAGTAACAAGCAACTTTGTTTTTTTTAAAGAGCAGGCAATAGCTTTGAAGGCATAAGATGAATTGTTTCTAGTGGAAATTAACTTTTTAAATAACTATACAATGATGCCATGAAAAGCACCAGAAGCAAAGCATTAACTGAGTGAAAACAACTACAAAAGACTTGAATATGCAGCATACCAGCACCAAAATAAAGTAAATCATGGTGGGAAAATCACTACTCAGATCATTAAGGTGGATGCTGCACTGTGACGCCTTATTTAAAAGGCCTCACTCTACCTGCAGATGAAAATCACCTTGTATGTATTTTAGTAAGGCTAACCATGAAGAGACGGTGTAGGTTCATAGGTGGCTTATTATCTCATCTACCACCTTCCTGGCTGTGTAGTTCATTTCATGTCTTTAAATGGAGCATAACCCACCAGGAGAATGCTGCTACTCTGATATTCCATTCTTGAATGCACCAAAATGTGCATGCTTGTTGTAATTAGGTGCCTGGGTGAATAAAAAAATCCCATTTACAATGTAAAAATATTATTTAAACCCCAAAATTTTATTGTTCTCCATAATCCTCAGGGAGATAAGCAGTAAGTTTACCCACTCCCAAACAAAAGATTACATAGGATTTTGAAAATTCTCTTCTACCATATTAAAATACAAATTCCTTTGTGTTGCAAAACCAAGCTGATTTACATGATTTTGTTTTAAATTGTTGCTAAATGTTTATCTACACATGCTGTCAGAAATAACCTTGTTAAGAAGGTGAAGCTGGTGTCTCAGCAAATCAGACCCCTTGGAGAAGGCGTCGAATGGCCTGTGCCCCGTTTTCCTTTTCTCTTTCCGCACCATCAAAAGGAAAAGTGAGAAAATAGCAGAAACATTAGTTAAATCCTGAGTTATACCCCATAACCTACAGGAATAACCTCACTACACTGAGAGCTGACAAAATTTGCAGGACTTCTTAACTGGATGAAGTAATTAAGACCCTAATTATTAAGAAAAATTTAAAAATCAGGCTAGACTGAGTTATATATTTAGAGATAACACTTTCAGGAGAAAAACAAAGACTTTTTTAAAACTATTTACAGTTTACCTGACTTACCAGCACTGAAGACAAAATCTTTTAAAAATGGCTACAAATGCCTTGTTCACAAAAGACTTTATTATCTAGTGATGCATACTGAGAACATACAGAAATCTGCATGGTCCACTTCCCATGCAGTAGAACAATGTTCACTTTACAGTAAGTGAGTGTCAACTGTTTATGCAATAGACAACACTTTAAAGTCACATTTTAAAGAAAAGCTTCATTTACAAAAGAAATAAAAGGTAAAGAAGCAATTACCGCTTTTAAAAAGCAGCTGCTTTGTTCAAGAGTGGAAGGTTTATGCCTGTATTGAAAGACAACATGATCACAAATAATGCAAACAATGAACAAATGAAAAACACTTTTACCATAAAGCAGTACACTTTCAAAATGACATACAAATAGTTAAAAATCTCATTATGTTGTCTATCTTTTAAATATGAGGACTTTCAGAAGGAGGCCTCAACATTTTAATCAGTAAATGAAAACTATGCAGTTTCTATGTCACTAAGAACTGTATTTAACAAAATGTATATAAAGTCTATAGCAAGTTGATTAAAAAAAAGTAAAATTAATAAGAAACAGTACACTGAAGGCGCTCTACCCATCAAGCGCATACGCTTCCAATTTTAAATGTGATGAACAGAACAGAAACTGTCACTATGCCACAGTTGCGATGCCAAAAAATAAAACAAGATCAGTTATCACACATGCAGGAAATTCTGCCACAAAGCTATCCCTCATTTTCAATTACTCCAATAAAATAACATCTTAAAACACTGGTGATGTTGATGGTTTAGCTTACCTTCAGTGTACTGAATGTTGTACACAACCTGCTTTAAAAGAGGAGACATCCCTGCAGGCAGGCTCAAGAAGGAACAGACTCCCTTCGGCACTGACTACACCAAGGGCATGCTGCTGTGGCCTGCACACACACACCTAGGAAAACGTGAATATAAACAGCATTTATGCTGGCCATTGTATCTGAAGACCAAAATGAAGCCAAGTCTGCTAAAAACAAATCAACCACCCAGCACTGCTACTCATAACAGATGCTTTTGTCTTTTATGTGAACTGCAACCATATACATTAGCACTGTAATTTTGTGCAGTCTTGGCAATTAAAACATTTCTACAGTGAAATTTCACATAAGACACAAAACAGATTAACTAACATTTCTAAAAGAAATATCACCCTTGGTGTTAATTCAAATATATCATGCTTCCTCAAATTTGCTGCAGAAATATTTATAAGTTTATATACATTAATAATAAACTGCTGTGAAATTTCTTCAGTCTTTGTATTTAATTACTCAAACCCTTGGAGTTTCTTCATCTCATTTAAATTTTTTCCTGGATGAATGCATGCTGCAGGGCCTGGTTGATGCTAATTCGCTTAGCCGGGTCCAACATTAGGATCTGGTCCAACAAGTCCTTTAGCTGGTGTACTTTTTTACGTTGATCTTCAGGAAGTCGCTGGCAGCCAATCAAGTCAGCCAACAGGTCCTTAGTTGGATTAATGGTGCTCATGACAGTAACTTTCTCCTAAAAATAATTTTTACAATGCATAGCTCTAAATAGGTTACATGTATGTAAATCAGACTTTGTTTGTCTATCAAAATATTAATATATAAACAAAAATACTTATGATCAATCATGGTTTTTCTGTAGTTTTATCCTGCACAGCTTTTCAAGGAGCAATCAAGAAACTTTAATGGAAAAGACCCCCAATTAGCCATGAAAACGCAGTGAGCATCTGCTGCCTGAATGTGCTCTCTCTGGTCTTATTTTCAATGGCAAGAGACAGTCTGATCCAGGTCAATACCAGGACATGTTACTCAGTGCTCTGGCAAAGCAAGGGCTCAGTATTACAGATCAAAAATCAGCTAACTATTACTTCATCCTATAGATTTTTAGAAAGGCTGATATGGAAAATTTATTTCAGCAATACTGGATAAGTGTGTTTAGGAGAGGAAGTAACTCAGGATATGATTCAGCTCATGGAAGTCTGTGAGCAAAGGCACTAAGGTCTGCCTAAACCAGTGTGCTTCTGGCCAAGAGTGGACTCGCAGGGAGAAGAAAAATGCCGAAGAAGGCAGAGTTCATGGAGAACGTGGCTTGTAACTCTGCAAAACTCAAAATATAGAAAGTGTCCTCCAACAGCAACATAGAAGACACATGGGAGCCCTATCAAGGGATCTACATGAGAGGTGGCAAGGGACTAAATATGGACTATTATCACCTTAGAGAAATGTTTGAAGTCCCTTCACTGTTTTCATAGCCTGAAGTGCTTTATTCAGGAATTAATAGCAAAAAGGAATGGCATACTTTGTTGTCATTTTAAAAATAATCACAACTCCACGCACTACACAGAACTCAATTCATGGATAATAAAGCACACAGCATTGGGGATTTAGTGAGTGGTAGAGCACTTACCTAATAAATGTGAAACCTTATCTCGATCCCCACAGTGAAAAGACAAAATAGCAACAACTATAGCACACTTAAGCCAGACTTACCCTCTCTGTTACTTTATCAACCTCTATGTACATGAAGTTCAGATTTTGGTCAAAATGTTGGTCTTTGAATACACCTTTCCGAATCATCTACAAAATGGGGGGGGGGGGGGGGGGAGAGAAGGCTTTAAAACTACTACAAAGCAGCCTGGCACACTACCAACTCTATGTAATAATTCACACAAACATATTATTTAAGACTCTCTTGCTGAGCCTTTGCACCCAGAACCAAGAGCGCTAAGAAGTCTGCCATGCTTAGCTACCTTCTCTTCTGACCAGCACATTCTCTTCCATGCTAACTAACTCATGTGCCGCTCTTTCCATTGTTTTTCTTTCATTCACTGTCTCATGGTTGCAATTCTTTCTCACCAGCAAGGGTGTCTCCTCCTGTTAGTGAAAAGGGAGTTCCCTTTGATAGCTCTTGGCTGATTAGAACCATTAACTGGAAGCCCAAAACAAGAAAGGAGCTAAGGCGTCACAAAAGCCACCCACCCACATAAATCTCTAAGAGCTTTACTTGACAAGCTACAGTCTAGGTGACAAAGTGTTAGGAGTCTTTAAGTCTATAGGAAGGAACTTAACCTACTTTATTTGGCATCTTTCCTTTGAGGTCCATTGCGAGCTTCAACATATGGTTATTAGTTTTGCCAGGAAATAAGATTTTTCCAGTATAGAGTTCATATAAGGTGCAACCTACAGACCACATATCGATACCATAGTCATAGCTTTTTCCTATAACTGAAAAAAAAAATGGAGGTTTTAGCACATGAGGATAAGAATGAATGACTCCTTAACTTTTATTTTCAGTAATGGGGCACTACACCTGAGCTTGGACTAACCACATCCATGTCTCAGTTTAGTTTCATGTTCTTTCCCACTAATTCTTAAGAGAGATACTTTAAAAAAAACAAAACAAGAAACAAAAAGAGCAAAACAAAAAATGCCAACAGGTTTAAAAACAGGGGCAGGAGAGGAACTGGATGCCTTCCTTCTCTTTGACCTTTCACCTTTGCTGGAGGTGCTAGTCAACCTCAACCCAGGCAAGAGGAAGAGAAAACCAAAGGTCCCACACAATCCATAAACGTGATAATCAGACCTTGATCAATCAAGAGCAGTCTTCTAAAGTCGAGGTTTTCCACAACTGTTTTGCTACTCTTGCTCGACATGATCAAGACTCCTGTCACAACTACCTTCATTCCACCTGAGGAGGATGAACTTGCTATGGTTCCCTTCCTCATGAATGAACTCGTGCAGCTGCTGAAGTGCGATGGAAAACAGTGCTTAGACATGACACACGCTGCTTCCACCACAAAGGATGGCCCAGGTCCAAGAACACGCTGAGAAACTTACTGATCTCCGGAGCACGGTAAAATCTACTGACAAGGTAAGGTGTTATGTCGTTATCTGCAACATGCGAAGCCGATCCAAAATCACAAAGCTTTAAAATGGTTTTGGATTCATTAACCTGCAAAACATTTTTTAAGGAAATTCAATTCATGCCAGGAATAATTAGGTAAATTAAAATTGTCTTTTTAAATTTATATTAATCTCAATACTGAGAACAAAAATCACTCATTTAAAAATTCCTTTTGTATTATGCAAGTTCCTAATTATGAAAAGGTGTTCTTAAAATATTTTATTACAACTAGTAAGACTTTTTTTGTCCAGTAAGGAAACATGAGGGAACACCAGGTACATTTAACTTTACTTAATGATATTTAACATAGAGTTGGGTAATGAGATAAAAAAAAAAATTCATTTCAAGAGGCAAACCATTTCTAAGCTTCCCTTGACTACCTAAGGTCAAGTTACTCTCTAAAAGAGCAGGAGAATGTTTATTAGTAGGGAAAAAAAATGACCGAGTCAACTAGTAATTGCCAGAAAATTACAATGACAATGAAACTAAATACTAAAATGACTCTTCATCTGGCTACCTGGTTTACATCATCTTAAACTCTGTAATCACTTTAAGTATGAAAAATACCAAATCCCTTAGGTATAAGTATTAGTCAAGAAATGTTAAACGTATCTGACAAAACTGATAAACATGAACTGTATTGGACATCTGTTCTTGTTTCCTTGGTAAATACTTCCACATACACAGTAACAGTGACATCTGCTGAGAAAGGCTGGAGCTGCTCCCATGACTGTTGCCACTCATGATCAGAAGCATGTTCAGGATTAACAAGTGAAGATAATTCATACTCCAGAGTCCCTTCCCCCCTTCAAAAGAGACACATACAAATTCTGAGTTGGGACTTGAACTTGGCCTACTATTCCCATCCCCATGACAATTAAGTTTAATGAGCTCTAGTACTCTCTGGGGCAGGGGGAGTTATTATCACAAAGTGTAATTAGTGCACCAGACTGGACTGTCACTGGGACCCGCAGAAGTGAGCTATAATAAACAGCTTCTTCCCCACAGCCCAAGACAGTATGTAGCTCAGGATGGCCTAGAACTCACTTATATAGACCAGACTGGTCTTGAACTCACAAAGTCTGCTTGCCATTGCCTCCAAGTGCTGAGACTAAAGGTGTGAGTCACCAAGCTCAGCCAAACACAAATTAGTTTGAACTACAACACAACATGAACACCAATTTTTTTTTACTCTGGAGACCAGCAGAAAGTTATCTTAAAACGGTAAACACTTTTATATATATATAAAACAACAACAACAAAACAATCCAGCTACTAAAAAAGATGTAACACCCAGAAAACACATGGAACCATGTACCAGGGGAACTTCTGAGCTGTCTACAATGCATTCAATGGTAGCAGGGCTGTCTACACTCACTCAGACGGTGGGGTTTTTGGCTGGAGTTGGGTATAATGCAGGGGCCTCATATATGCTAAACATACAGTACTGTACCACACCCTCATCACAGGCCCCCCCCTTTAGTTTGCTATACAACTTCTAGTCCTTATAAGGAATGCTGTACATCAATCAAACTGTGGCTAAAAGCATTGGATTGTCAGGAATGAAATCAGTTCTAGGTGTTCTCTGAGATTTTTTTTTCCTTTTGAAGAAGAAATATTTAGTTCCCAAATTTCATGTGAAAATCAAAACTAACATTAAAAGGAAAAAAGAGGTGCTAAAAAACAAAAAGCTTGGGCACTGCCAAACATCTTTAACTGCCACAGTAATAGAGGTATTTGCTGTATAATTGTCTTCTAAATCACAGGTGTTTATTTGATATGTAATTTTTTTTAAAAGAACAATCTGAAGTAAAAAAGTATAAAGTTGGCTACTGAATTTTATAATCCACTTACAATATACCATTTCACCAATTTCTCAGCAATCCCATCCCTAAATTATATTAGATATACAATATGATATATAAAACACAAACCAATTATCAAGGTGGAATATGCACCATTAGTAATGTAACAGATTGGAAGGAATTATTTTAAGATAGATGGTATGTGTGTGCCTTAGTGGGTGAGATGCTGGCTTTACAAGAGGACCCAGAGTTCAGATCCCAAGTGCTCGCACACACAAGAAGATAGGAGTGGTGGTGGGCACCTGTACTGTCAGCACTAGGATGGTGGACACAGGACACTCCCAGAGGCTCCCTGGCTGACTAACCTAGCTAATGGGTAAGCTCCAGATTCAGTGAGAGACTCTGCCTTGAAAAAATAAGGTAGGGAACAATAGAGAGAAGACATTCTATGGTGACCTTTAGCCTTTACATGCTTACACATAGGCACAAGCACCCTTATGCACAGGTGGACACATTCATCCACCACATGCAAGTAATCACACAAAACTGTGAACGAAAAAGAGTTCCAGGAGTCATTAAATGTTATGAGATGACAATTTTGGGGTATGGTACTGGAGACTGAAGCCAGGGTCTCATGCATTGCTGGGCGAGCACTCTACTCTCCTCTGAGCTGCAATATCCCCTTGCCCAGTCACAATCTCTTTAAGAATTTAGTTTGTCAGCAGGTGGTGCACGCCTTTAATCCTAGCACTCAGAAGGCAGAGGCAGGCAGATCTCTGCGAGTTCGAAGCCAGCCTGGTCTACAAAGTGAGTTCCAGGAAAGGCACAAAGCTACATAGAGAAACCCTGTCTCAACAAAACAAAACAAAACAAAACAAAACAAAAATATGTTTGTCACAGCTCAAACACGATCCCAGTAAAGAAAACCTTACATATGTGGCTTTTCCGCTGAGGCATTATTCTAGAAGTGATTTAAAAAAAAAAGCATGTAATAAAAAACAAACAGGAAAAAACAACTAACTGGAGGTGATAAGACTAGATAGATAGTCCAATTGTTAAGAGCACTGCCTTGTACTTCAAGGAGCCAGGGATGGGGGTGGCGTTTGATTCCTAGCCCCCATATGGTGGCCCACAACTGTGTATAATGTCAGTCCCAGGGAATATGACACCTTCTTCTGCCCTGTGGGCATTGTACACACACACACACACACACACACACACACACACACACACACACACACACACGGGGGTGGGGGGTGGGGGCCGTGTGCAGGCAAAACACCTACACATATGAAAGAACAAAAGAAGGAAAAATTAAAAAAGAAAACTCGTGCAAAGAAAGGGGCCAACAAAAGGAGAGGTATTCTTGTGCATTAATGCTATCTCCATTATGATGTGTCTCCAAATTTCAAAACATCATAGACACCGTGAAATCTGATTGCACTACAGCAGAATCACTAATAAAGAGATGTCACAACTTCAAAGGAAGACCTTTCCATTAACACCTAGCCAGAGATTGGGTTTCCAGAAGCCAGCTTCAATGGCAATTAAAAAAAAAACAACAACAACAAAAAAAAAAAAACAAAAACAAAAACAGAAAAAACCCAGGAACCAAGGGTGGTAGATGTGCCTGCAATCTCACATGAGATTTGGGAAGCTAGGGAAGAAATAGTAAGTTTGAGGCTGTTAAAGAATAAAACTGTATCTCAAAATATAAAACAAAACCAAACAGGCACCTTTTAAATTGAATTCCAAATAGCTGCTCAGTAGAGAGCAATTCCTTTAGTGTTCACAAGATCAGAGCGCACTTCAACACAGCAACATTGCACAGCCTTCTTTATCCAAAGAAATTATCATCATTCTTGGGATCACTGCATACTATAAATCCATCAATCAATTCTTTAAAAAGGGACAACAATTCATTTCCTCTTCCCTCACAGTTCTTATGAAACTCCTGGCTCAATTTCAAAGGAAGATAAAATTTGGCAAAGTCCATCATAATGGGTTACTAATATAATTATACTTTTTAATGTTATTTTGCAGCCTAACAATAATCCTATTATCACTTAGTAGGAAGAGATGTGGACATACACACAGGGTGGCCTAGTTGTTTGACTTACCAGAATATTGTCTGGTTTGATATCTGCATGCAGGATATTGCATCTTTTAAGGAGTTTCAATGCCAGGAACAACTGTTGACTATAGGATCTTACAGCTTTAATATGAAGACCAACATCCTTACCATATTTTTTTAATACCTCTCGCAAATTCATACTTTGAGAGAAAACAAAACAAAAGAAAATGGGGTCAAAATCAAATACAAAAGGTAAAAATATTTTTAAGCATAAAGTAAAATCAAGTGCAAAATACATTTTATATAATTTTAGAGAATCCTTATCCCCAATGCTTGATAAATTATTTGGCACTGAGATGAGAGAATAACATATATCCATAATACAATTTCCCAATAAAGCTCAATTTTCAAAATAAACAAAGGAAGAGCTATTACACAGTAACTCCTACCTCACTTGAGAAAGGCCTCCCTTGCAAACACAACTAGGAAGCCATACTGCTGAAGGTAAAACTGCTATCTCTCCCCACCACTCCTATTTCTGTCCATCAGACTGCGGACCTGCAGGGTACCTGAGGTCACTTACTGTCTGCCACACATACAAAGTCAGTTCATGTCTTATACATTGAATATTTTCAGGAAAATAAAGTTAACAAAAAGAACCAGCAGAAAAACCTTAAGCAGTTCCCACATCTCCCCTGCATGTACCCTGAATGAAGCTGGTAGGTAGGTAAACTACATGCTCACTTGACTACTCAAGTTCTGACACTTTACCTGAGAGGCTCAAATACAAGACAGAGGTGCTGCTTGTGGTAAAAGTGTCTGAAGAGGCGCAGGCAATGAAACTTGTCATCAGGATCAGCATCATTAAGTTTCTTCAAGAACTCTAGTTCTTTTAAACCAGTCTTTTGCCTGAAATGAAAAAGAAAATTAGGACCTAACAAGAATTTAGGAGTAACATCTGTAAGACAAAACCTGATATGCCATTGGTAACACACATTAAGTACCTAAGTGTCATTTTTAACTTATTAAAATTTTTCAAATTTTGGGGCTGGAGAGATGGCTCAGTGGTTAAGAGCACTGGCTGTTCTTCCAGAGGACCTGGGTTCAATTCCCAGAACCCACACGGCAGCTCACAACTGTCTGTTATCAACTCAAAGTGATTTGACATTCTCATAGAGACATAAATGCAGGCAAAACACAAATGTACATAAAATAAAAAATTTTTTAAAAAATTTTAATCTCAAAATATCTTGATATAATTATTATTTTGTGTCTTCTAAAAATATAATTATTGGGCATGTCTTCCTAAGTATAACTTTGCTAATAAAAACCTGACTATAAACTGTCATAAGGTACATCTTAAAAGTGCCTGCAGTACAAAAGTTCAGACCTTCCCAACCAAACATATCTTTATTTCTAAGCTTAGGACAAACAAAGACATCAATAACAATCTCTTAAGACTTCTAGCATTTGAAGGCCAGTAAAAAGCTGGCTCTACTACCAGTTCAGTATGTGGTACAGATTTAAATATAGGGCTATGGCAATTACTTAAGCTTATGAAAGAAAAAAGTCAGGAGATGAAAGACACAAATAACGGGGGCTGGAGAGATGGCTCAGTGGTTAAGAGCACTGACTGCTCTTCCAGAGGTCCTGAGTTCAATTCCCAGCAACCACATGGTGGCTCACAACCACTTGTAATGAGATCTGGTGCCTTCTTCTGGCCTGCAGGGACACATGCAGGCAGAATACTGTATACATAATAAATAAATAAATAAATCTCAAAAAAAAAAAAAAAAGATACAAATAACTCCTCTCTGCAGCTAATGAATCACTTTTGTTTGCTGGCTGCTGTATGCTCAGTAACAATCAATGTACATTTTAATTTCTTCCTTCTAGATTAAGGTTGTCACAGCACATAATGGCATTAGGTGAGGCAGAAGAAGATCTGAGGACATACTGGTACTGAAATGAGTTCAACATAATAATCTATGGTTCTAGAACTTTCCACGTAAAACATAGCTGTAAATTTAAAGTCTACAGTCAAAAATCTCTCCTAAAAATTTTATTTAACTAAGATTCCTGACTGGATGTTTTGTTGTTGTTTTCGGTTCAGTTACTTACATGAGTTCATTGTTCCTGATGATCTTGACAGCCACTTCCTGATTGGCTCTAGCGTTATCCCTGGCACGGACAACATTGCTGAACACACCCTGCCCAGTGTAGCCATATACATTATAACGCTTATCTAGGACTTCCCCGATGTTCACTCCTAAAACCAAATTTAAAAATTAGAAGTCTGATTATAAGAGCAAAATCAAAAGGTTGTTAACACATTGAAGTCGTTTAAAAAATAGATCAAATCTCCACTGTTTCTAATATACAATGGGAAACCAGTCACTGCCTCAGTTGGTCCTGTTTTTAGAATGTGGAAGAAGCTGTACGCCTATTTCAGACAACTAAGAGTTCCGTGGTCCTGTCAACGGCTGGCAACTTTACACATGTGCTCACTGAAGTGTCATCAGCTACAGTAGTACATGACAAATACTGTCGGACTGGCACCTGAGTGCCTCGGTATGTTGCTCTCTTGACCTATAATGTAAAGATGGTCTAGTGATAGACCCTCTCCTCTAGAGGATTCACTCATGGCTGAAAATATCTATACACAGATTTAGCCTTGCTTTATTTAATTAATACGTAATGCTTCTGAGCTGCAGAGTGGAATATAACTAAAGTTCATGTGCTGTGACTGGTTGTGCCACACTTTTCTACTCAGTTTTCAAAAATGTGTGATTACATTGAGCAGTGTGCCTTTATGGAATTGCACAATGAATTTTAAAGTTGATGAGAAAAGCAAACTTACGGTAATAGCCTTCTGCATCTGTCCAATTATCTCTGAGGTTGGGATTCTCTTTGAAATCTTTCCCAATGCCAGCAGCCCGGAGACGAGCACTCTGAAATGAGGGAGGCAACATGAGTGGTTGCCAGGTGACTGCAAACCTCCTTAATAACAAAAAATGGCAAAACTAACATTTCATTAGATCCGTTGATGGTTACTATTGCTTATATAAATTCAAGGTACCATAATTACCAAAATGTCTTATAATCGTAATAACAGAAAAAACATTCAAGATTCCCAAAAGCTTTTGGGTTATGATTAGGGCATTAAAAGTGAAAATAAAAATTAAAAATCAGTTCTGGTTTCCTGTAGCTGGTAAGACAGACTGGAAAAATCCCTACACAATGAACTCTGTTAACTATCAGAGTGTCCAACATTACCTACCGATTTTCATCCTTTCTTTCTCTGCTTCCCTGTCTATGTCCACATTTGTACCCTTACCACACAGGCATGAAATGTAGTATAATATTCACGGGCTGTACTAGGTTAAGCCTGTGTGGAATATTAAAAATAACAGTATCTATCTAACATTTGTGAAGAACCCTATCCATATTACCCCATGATACCCAGAAGGTCCTGCAATAATGTTATTGTTTGGTTATTAAACACCCCCAACTCACACTCCCAAGTCTCTGGTTTCTCAGACTGACACTACTGGAAGGCAGTGGAATCATGTAAGAGCTGATACCTAGTAGAAGTTCAAAGAAGACTCTGAGATCCAAAACTCCTTCTCATTTTCTTCCCCTTCTTGACTATTAGATGAGCAATTTTACTGCCACCTGCTCCTGCACAAGGTGCTGCCTCTTCACGGACCCAAAGCAGCAAGGCCAACTGATTATAGATGGGAGCCCAAATCAGTCTTTTCTCCTCACTGATGGGTGCTGATACTTCAATGGGGAAAAGATTCACTTCATCTTAACTCATCCTCTTCTAGTGTGTCTGTTGTGGTCCAGGTGATGCATTACAAATTATTATTTAGGCCAATCATAATGTCTTCAGGGTCCCATACACTGTTTATTCTACTTCATTTTTATTTTTCCTGTTACATTTATCCTCTATTTGTTCTTACTAATGCCTTGTATTTCTTATGACCCTTTAAATATAAACTGAAAATGGTTCCAGACTTTCAGGTGTATTTGTAAGTAAAGACTTTCAATAAAAGGTACTGCTAAACATTACAGCAAAACAAGAACAAAAATAAAATGAAAATCAAAACAACAACAACAAAAAATAACTAGTCACTAAGGTCATTTAAGCAACCCCTTACGGTATCTAACACACACACACACACACACACACACACACACACACACACACACACTCCTGTTCATGTGTTGAGGTGGGGTAAGTACTACACATGTAGGCTTCTGGGTAGGTGTATATAACTTCAGTAAAGTTCTTCTGTTGTACATCTTTTAAAAACTCTGATATAGTTTTGGCCTCCAGGAGGAACAAAGCTAGTCCACTTCAGTTTTGAGATGCTGTGCACAGAGGCTGTCCAGATGTTCTCTTGTGTTAACGTGGACCTCATTTCTCTCTGTAACTGCTCATGCACTAGCTAAACAGTTAAGTCACTGATTTAAAATTACTCACATCAAAATAAGCAGCAAACATATCATCAGATTCCGTAAACATATCAGGCGCCAAAAGCTTCTTCTGAGATGACCCTTAAATGAAATATGTATTAACACTTGAGAAATAAAAACAGAAATTAAAATTGAAGTCAACAGAAAAATCAGTATTATCAAACTCTTTTTCCATCTTTCACATTGGCTTTCAACCAATAATTCAATTGAGAAGCAGCTCATTACGCTTGATATAAAAATCCACTATAAATACACGCCAAAAAGACTCATATCAACTTTTGCCACTGCCAGTTTAAATAAATAAGTTAACAGCTACTACATGATAATCCTGGATTAAAATGAAGTTAATTTTAAATTAACTTAAAATCTTATTTAAATACCTCAAAGGGTTAATCTCCTCCTCTGGACAGAAAAAGATCAGCATCCATCTGTTTATAATTTGCCCCTAAAATACCTAATACCCATTTAGAAGACTACAGAGGAAATAAGAAATACAATGGTTTTCAACAAGGGAACACACACCTAAGGGAAATGAAAATTAAAACTACCATTAAGTACAAGAGCTTATTAAGGACAGTGGCTAAAATTCCAAAAGAAGATAACACCTATACTAATAAGACTTTGGCTAAATAAGTACCCAGGTGTGGTTTATGGGATGGCAAGATCACACAACTTGCAAGAAGAGAATCTGACAACAAGAGCACACATAACTAATCCACTCCTGATCCAAGAATCACGCTTCTTAGATTAATACTTGAGAAATAAAAACAGAAACTAGAACCTAAGTCAACAGAAAAATCAGTAGTAGTAATAAAACTTTTTACTTCCTGCACATTGGCTCTCTAGAAAACTATTCCAAAACTCCGTAGCTCAGCACTAAAAACAGCCTGATGTACAGTATTGTTAAATGAGTATCCAATGGGTCACCACAACTGGACATAATTCACATATATCTGTCAGATAACTGAATAAAAATAGAGACATCCTTGACAAGAAATGAGAATCAGTAGAGTCCTTGCCATGCCAGAATCTGTATAAAAAAGCAGGGCATCACAGCTGCACACACTTGTGATTCCCACACTGGGGAGACAAAGGCAGGTAGACTCCATGGCCAGTTAGCCTGGCCTAATTAGCAAGTTCCAAGACAAGAAAAGGTGAATAGAACCTGAGAAATAAAATCTGGGGTTGTCCCCTGGCCTGCACATGCAACCCCTACCATACACAGACACATATCTACAGAAAATAAACTAAAAAGCACATTGTAGAGCATTATTTGAGCATAATCTTCCTACTCCCTTTTACTTTCCCTCCGATCTTATCATTATAGTTATACAGCTAAAACTACAGAGAAAAGCATCATTAAGACACTCTAACTCACCATTATTCTGTTCAACTGTCATCAGGTTATGTTTGGCTTTTACTGAGGCCTCAAATGTGTCAACATTCTCCCGCTCATATTCTTTTACATCAGCAGCCACCCGCTCCAAGATGTCATCTGGAGAAGGTGATCGTGACCTCGTGCTGCTCTGGGGGCTGCTCGGCTCAGATGGCACAGATATATTGCTATCTTCAGCAAGATATTTATATTTCTGTAATAACAATAGATATATCAGTTTCAGAAAACCAATTATCTAAATATATTAATTTCAAAGAGTTGCTGCATTAAGACAGAGTCAAGCAAATGTAAAACAAAGGCATCCATGCCTGGCTTGCATCAGGTGCATAATCCTTACAAAATTCCAAACATCACAAACTCTGAAAAGTGGCCAGGTGGTGGTAGCACACACCTTTAATCCCAGCGCTTGGGAGGCAGAGCCAGGCAGATCTCTGTGAGTTCGAGGCTAGCCTGGGCTACAGAGCAAGATCCAGGACAGGAACCAAAACTACACAGAGAAACCCTGTCTCAAAAAACCAACCCCTCCCCCCACCAAAAAAAAACTCTGAAAAAGTATTTCCTTGTTTGGCGTACAGTCATCAGGTGGTAAAACCTGACCTGACCATATGAAATTATATTTATCATTGTTCTTTATCATCTGGTATGACCACTCATGCATCTCATTTTAGAAATATTAATGAGCTAATTACAGGATCTGTTTTAGTTCCTTCAAAAGGCTCTAAGTGATGTGCACAGACACACACCATATTACTCTTTTAGCATTCAAAAGTGTCTAAGTTTTGAAGCCCATCTGGCAAGGGTTGCAGATAAGGGGTCATGAACTTGGCCAAGAGTAAAACGGATTCAACCAAGTTTTCAGGGGTATGGGCTTATTCAAGACTTTACCAGAGTACCACTAAAAACCTTTCAGGTCTGTCCTGCTTCCTCTGCAGTTGATTCTTGCCTTGGTTTCCTGCCTTACCATTTGCTATGTGTGGTGAGCTGCCATGGCTGTTCTTGTCTCTGTCCTTTGAGAAGGCACTTTATTTTATGAGGACTGTTGTCCCTAACGGCCCCAGTGACTGTACCAGGCTTTGGACTAAGCACAGCCAAGGACACGTGGTTTATCTTTTAAAACAGCAAATGTTATTACTTCATTACTGTTGAGACCTGTGTGGAACACCTTTCTCACACAATTTTCATTTAAACCCCAATTATGGGCTGGCAATTAAGGCTCGGTGGGCCAAAGTTAACTGCTACCAAGCCTGGCAATCCAAGTTCAAACTCCAGAACCCACACATGGGGGGAGGGAACCAACTCCTTCCCAATTATGCATATCACCATACTCATGCCATGATGCATGTACAGACATGCTCGCACGCATGCATTCATGCACACATGCAAAAATTAAAAATTAAAAAATTAAAAATTAAAGCAAAATTGCAATTATAAACCTTGCCATTACCTTTTTAGATAATAAAGTGTTTTTTTGTATAACATCACAGACTTTACTAAATGAACTTATAATTTATCCTACACTGTCAGAATTTTCATGTTTGTTAAAAAAATTTCGAATTCTCATGTTTTACACAAAAAGTTTACATTACAATGCAATGAAAACAAAGAGCAACATATGTCAGCTTTAATAACTAAAGAAACGCAAGTGTCACAAATGTTTGAGCTCTTCTAGTGACCTGGTTACTGTCATTATTCCCCCTCTTGGTTTAACTTACAACCCTTTCTGCTTCCGAGTACCGCGCACGAGACGGAACATCACATACCTGCACAATCGCCTGCCTCTGTATCCTCCTCTGTTCTATTAGAGCCTCTTCATCCTCTTCCTCTACATCAAAATCTTCAAGGCTTAAAAAAAATGTTTTCACACATTTTTGCAGATTCCCAAACTGTTACCTTGCACATTTTAAAATTAAAGTTGGAGCCACTCCTAAACCAGCCCTGCTGATCTGACTCTCAGCTGCCTGATGGAAGCCTAGTGGCTTTACCCTCACCTTGTTCATGGCACCAACACTAGAAACAAGACAGATCTCTACATAAACTTAGAGAAGAGTTCTTTTTCTGCTCTGATCTGAGTTTCCTCTTCTCTAAAGAAAAGCTGAAGTAAGCTATTATCACAGAAAGCTCATGGAAGTTTCTGGTCTATTTCCTATCAAAAATGCAAGCAAGCTGTGGTACTACCTGCAAACCAAACAAAAACCAACATGAAAAACAAAAAAAGCATACATCTGCCAGGTGATAGCAGTGCACACCTTGAATCCCTGAAGAGGCAGACAGATCTCTGAGTTTGAGGCCAACCTGGTCTACAAAATGAGTTTCAGGATATCCAGGGCTACACAGAGAAATCCCGCCTCGAAAAAAACCAAAAACCAAAACCAAAACAAAACAAACAAACAAAAAAATCCACACAAACTCTTTCAGAAAGACAAGGCTCAATGTCCACCCACATGTTCTTCAGTCTTTATGACCTCATAAGTGCACTGTTGTCCTCTTAATGCTTAGCGTCTGCGCAGTAGTTTATGCCATTAGCAAGTGCACTGTGGCTGCGTCAGGCTCTATGCACAACTCTTCTCTTTCCCAGCCTCCTCTCATAGAACCAAATGGGGCTTCTTAACTCAAGCACTACTGATTTGGGGGGTGGGTTGTCAGGTGAGGTGAAATTAGACTGTGTATTGCAGAATCTAGTATCCCTGGCTTTCTAACACCAGGTGACAACCAAATGTCTTCAGACATGAACAAAATGTCTCTAAGGAGGCAAGAAGTGCTACTGAGAAAAACTCAACTCAAACAGCTTTGATTCATAGACAGTGCTTTTAGAAACTTGCATTTTAAATCATTTCTAACACTGTCAAATTAGTCATTCAAGTGTTTCTCTCTCATTGTGACAGACACTCTGTCAACTAACTGAAAAGCACGTATCATCTGACATAAATTGAAAAGTCTAAAATTTGTATAGAAACATCTTCCCCTAAACTGGTCTGGTCTAATAAAAACAAAAGGAAGATTCAGTACAACGATGACCCAATATTCAACTCAATTTAGACAAAGCAGAACCCCTAAAATCAGAAAAGTGTTACCTATGCCATAAGCCTACCTAATAACCACAAAAGGTTATAACTTTTAAATTCTGCATGAAATTAGGGATTCGCTCCTATCATTTAGGTAGAAAATAAAAGTCCATCAATTTTCCTCTACTAGAAACATGAAATGGGCACAGCTGCATTCTTACTTATCATCAGATGAAGACTCTTGCTCAGCTTTCATTCCTTCAGAGAGACTTCCTTTAAATTTATCTTCTTTTACTTTGCTTCTGCTCCTTCTCCTATGACCACCCCGTGATCGAGACCTTCTTCTCAAGCGTGACCTGCTCCTTCGACTCCTATCTCTATTTGAAGGGAAAAAAGGGACAGATAAATATTTGTTACAGTATCAATTAGAGTAAGCAAAGGAAATGCATGTGTAGGGAAGAATAAAGGAAGACTTTGAACTCTATACTCAATTTTTCTGTGAACCCAAATGTCTCCAAAAACTAGTCTTTTAAGGAAAGGTGCATAGGCATGGTGGCACACCATAGACCCCAGCCCGGGGGAGGAGACCGTGAGGACTAGCATTAGCAAGACCCAAGTCATTAAATGTTTCTGTGGGCCGAAATGAATGGATGTATTTATGTATGTACTGTACAACTGGTACCCGTTGAGGCCTGAAGAGGGCATCCAATCTCCTGGAACTGGAGTTACAAACAACAGTGAGCCACCATGTGGTTGTTGGGAACCAAACCCAGGTCCTCTGCTAGAGCACCAAGTGCTCCTGAGCAATCTATCTGGCCCCTCACTTAAAGATTTAAACAACTAAAACATAGCTAATAATACTTGTCAGATTAATTTTTTTCTCATGAAAAAAATATGGAGCTAAGCTCAACAGAAACAAACACTCGTGTTTCTTATTTCTTGTTTCTGGAGAGTGTGTGTGCTAGTCAAGCACTCTACTACTGAACTACACTACCAGTACCTCAACACTCTCACAGCACCAAAGTTGTGACTCACAGGCTACTGGTTTGTACTGGATATATGCATGTATTATTTTACATGTAGACATGCATGTGAGGGTGAGTACACACATCCGTGTGTAAGAATGCAGAGACCAGAGGAGCAGGATGTCTTTCTCTATTGTCCTCCATTTTACTGTCTTGAGACAGGGTCTCACGATGACTTGGAAACTTTTTAGCTACAGTGGCTAGCTCTCAGTTCAGGATCCACCTGTCTGTCCCCTAAATGCCAGAGTCATAGGCACATATAGCCATGCTTAGCTTTTTATCTGAGTGCTGGGGATGTGAACTTAGGTTTTTATGCTTGTAGAGTGTTCCTATCCAATTGAGCCACTTTCCAGCCATACATTTATTAATATAGTAAAAATGAGGATTTTTTGTTTTGTTTTGTTTTGTTTTTCGAGACAAGGTTTCTCTGTGTAGTTTTGGTGCCTGTCCTGGATTTTGCTCTGTAGACCAGGCTGGCCTCAAACTTGCAGAGACCCGCCTGGCTCTGCTTCCCGAGTGCTGGGATTAAAGGCGTGTGCCACTGTCGCCCAGCTCTTTTTAAGTTTTAAAATATTAATTAATCTATTTATAGTGAAAGGGGGGAAGAAGGGAGGATTGTGATCCACCATGTGGGTCATGTGGGTGCTAGGAACCAATCCAGGTCTTCTACAAAAGTAGCCAGGGCTCTTAACCACTAAACCACCTCTCCAGCCCAGCTTACTGCTCTTACAGAGGACCCAGGTTCAGTTCTCGGCATCCACATCAGGAAGATCAACTTGCTGTAACTCAACTGCCTGTAACTCCAGTTCCAAGAGATCCAGTGCCCTCTGGCCATCTAGGACACCTGCACGCACGAGAGATGACACTACAAACAGAAAATGGACCCACGACTGAGAAGACAGGAGAGCCACCAAGAGGATGGCAGCAGGAACCCCACTGCCCCAGTCTGCTCAGGAAGGAGATCACAACGATTCAACACACTGGCAGCACAGAAACCTGGCAGAGTCAGAAACCTTACAGTGAGCAGAAGCACTTGACTATTTCCATTTCTAGGAAGATAGTTTTTAAAAGTAAATCATCAGAAACATGTAAAGGTGGTGTTAATGTAAGCCTTTAGTATGTTGTCTTCCTAAACTATATTCCAACGATGGTCAAAGGTTGACAAAAGAATGTTCATTTATGCATAAGTTCAGGTTTATGCAAGCATGGATTTTAAATCTTTTTGATTGACCTTTAAATAATATACTTTATGTAAAATGCTCTCTAATAGTGAGTTGAAATGTTTTAATCAGAAAATCCTAACCAAGTTATTTATATAACCTGTTTTTTTTAAAGGTCTTGCTAGTTAAAAAAAATTCTAAGTATTATCAACTTAAGTAAGGATTACTTTTATCATGTGTGCCTGTGTTCATGAATACCATGTGTATTCAAGTGTCCAAGAAATCCAGAAGTGGACACTGGATCCCTTAGAGCTGGAGTTATAAGTGGTTGTGCTCACATGACAGAAATATTGGGACCCAAATTTGGATCTTCTGGAAAGGCAGCTGAACCATCCCTAGGCCCTTAACTAAGTACTTGAAGATCAACGGCTTGTATAAATTTCAAAGGAAACCACGCTGAAGAACTGTGTGTAGTACCACATGCGGGCAAAAGGAGGGTATGGGATCACAAACTAAAATGCTTCAGAGAAAAATGGTCTGTGGGAAAACCTGCCAATGCAGCTAATTGAAGTTTCAAAAGGAGGCAAAGGTTAACAAATTGAGACGATAACATCTATCCTTCATATTCACCTTCTCCGAGGAGACCTGCTTCTTCTTCTTGGAGACCTGCTGCGTCTCAATGGGGAACGGGATCTTCTTCTAATGGGAGACCTACTTCTTCTTCGGGTTGGAGACCACCTATTGATGGGGCTGGCATCTTTTGATCGTTCGCATCTACTGAGGATATCATCTCGAGGTCGTGTTCTTAAGGGGAACATATGCAAGTTAAGAGAACAAACTAAAAGAACCCTTTCAACATGTAAAGAACATAAGATTCACAAATTTAATGAGAGTAACTGTGATTAATTTATTTTGAATTACCATTTAAAGTCAGATGACTCCACTGGCATTATGGTGTTACAGGAGGCATACAATAAAAGTATTTCCCATGACCTCAGAATGAATAAATTTAAAGACTATTCATGTTAAAAAAAAAAACAAAAAACAAAAACTCAAATTTTGAATGTATAACTCAAAGGAAATTTACCTAAATAGGTCATAATATTCTATTTCCTTATTTTCAAGTGTCTATATATTGGTATTTCTATGGTTAAGAAATCTTATTTGTTTATTATATGTATGTGTGCATGCCTGTGCCTTGGCACATGTGTGAGGTCAGAGCTAACTTGAATTTTCTAAGATACAATTGTACATGTAAAGAGACTGGGCAAATTCACTTGTGGATTCTATGAAGAAGCTTCAAATATAACTAACAGACATCTCTACATGACCGTGAAAAATAAACCCATCTAATGTTCATCAGCAAAATACAGAACACCTACACTATAACTTACTGCTGTTATTTAAAAAAAAAAAAAACCTATATACTGTCACCAAAGTATTTTTCCCAAAATAGTATACCATCTGTACTTTGAGATAAATTGCAAGACTCCATTTATAAGAAAATGCTTATTTTCAACAATAATGTGCATACGAAGTAGACTAGCAGGATAAAAACTTATTGGGAGAGGCTGGAGAGGGATAGGGAGGCCAAGAACTTACAGGCTTCTGCATTATTTGGCCTTTTCTTCAGTCTGTATCTTTTTTGGATTAAAAAGGGAGGGGTGTTTCGAATATGCAAATTTGGTCTTCTATAGAACTTTCAGACTTTCCTATTGAACTAAAAGCAAACTGGGCTGACTAAAACACTTCAGATCAAGAGATCAATAAAACAGCCTCAAAGCAGAATGCTGAAGGAAAGGGGGGATTCTAATATAAGGCTACTTAGAAGTGAAGAGTAAAGAACCTCTTAAGATGGCACTTTGAAAACACTCTTCCAAGTTCCCAGAATGTGATGATTGAAACTTCAAGATCAACTTACAGTTACACTGAACATATTAGTATTAATAGGAATAAGTAAATAGCTAAGAATTCATACTATTTTTATAAGCCATCATCTTTTTAGGAAGTAAAACTTGGCAGATCAGATAATTTCAAAAGCACAATTCCTATATACACAATTAGCTGGTTTCTAAAAAGCCTCTCCTATTTTCCCCCAATTTAGTTCTATGATCCTAATCATTTCTTTGACTGTATACTGTACTTAGGGCCAGCATTACAGTTTAACCTGTAAACCCAGCAGTTAGGAGGCTGAAGTGAGAGCACTAGCTTTGAGGCCTGTCACAGCTATATCATGAGACCATGTCTCAACCCTGTCCCCACAAAAGAGGGAGTTTATGAAGGAACCCCACTCTCACTGAGCTAAGATTTAGTAAATTGCCTGGATTTAAATGGTTGATTGAGCAAATGAGAAGCTAAATTAAGTCAAGAATTTGAAAGAAATCACCAAGCTATTCATAAAACAAACACAAATTACTATCAAAACACTTAGTATTAATATAATTAATGCACTAAATTATACTACTATTACGAAACTCATCACTATCTCATTTAAAATTATCTCCACACTCTATTTTTCTTTTAAAATATAAACTAGTAAAAAGCTTGAATGTGGCTGGGTGGTGGTGGTGCACGCCTTTAATCCCAGCACTCAGGAGGCAGAGCCAGGCGGATCTCTGTGAGTTCAAGGCCAGCCTGGTCTACAGAACAAGATCCAGAACAGGAACCAAAACTACACAGAGAAACCCTGTCTCAAAACACCAAAAAGAAAAAAATGAGCTTGAATGTTTCATGAACAGGTTACCTTGGAGAAGAAAGTCGTCTCCTCTCTGGCTCTCTTCGTTTTCTTTCTAAGGATCGGCTCTTGGCCCTTCTACCTGGAGACAGAGTTCGAGAAGGTGATTTGCTCTGCTTAGATCTTCTGTCATTGACAAGTGGGGATCTACTTCTTCTTGACTTGTCTCGCTGTTTTGGAGACAAACTTCTTCTTTTAGGACTCCGGCCAGGTCTTCTACTAGGTGACCTATTTTCCTTCCCAGAAGAGGCATCTTTTGAAGGAGATTTAATTGGCTTCTTTTCTTTGTCAATTTCAGACCGTTTTGACTTTCGCTCTTTGGACCTTGACCTTCTGTCTTTGGATTTATCTCTTAAGTCAACTGGCGACCTGGATTTTTTAGATCGATCTCGACTTCTTTCATTTACAATTGGTGATTTCTTCCTATCCTTTATTTTACCTTTATCTTCAATCTTAATCTTCTCATCAGTAGGAGATCTGGCCTTCCCAATTTTTTCTTGGGACCGCCGTCTAAGGGTAGGGGACTTTGATTTTCTTGCTTGGTCTTGAGACTTGCTTCTTTTGGACGGACTTGTGGATTTCCTCCTCTCCTTGGACTTGCTCCTGTTTGCTTTCTCTCTCGCCATGTCAACAGCTCCCTTGCTTTTCCTTTTGTCCGACCTGTGTCTAGTCCGTTCTTTGGATCTGCTCTTACTTCGTTTTTTTGCACTATTTTTGTTGTCTGTAATTTCAAGTTTTCCCCGTGTACTGGAAGACCTGGTACTGGACCTATTTCCATTTCTTGCCTTTTCATGAATCTCCCCTTCTTCTTCGGAGCCAGACTCATAGCCTTGTAAAATGAGCCCCATTCCAGACTGGACCTTTCCCTCCATTAACTCATTATCAAGCTCAGCTTTAATCAAGGCTCTCTGTTTTTCCAAGTCTTCCAGCAAAGCTAAATCATCAAGTTTAGTTCTTTTTGCAGGGGAGAGGCCTTCTTTGTCAGAGGCATCTATAACTTCTTTTCTTTTGTGTTTCTTATGCTTATGCTTATGTTTGTGTTTTTTATCCCTATCTTCTTCTGAGGAATGTTTATGTTTCTTATGTTTACTTCTGTGTTTATGCTTCTTTTTTTTGTGACGACTGTGTTTATTTTGAGATTGGTCTTCTGATACTTCTCCATTTTCTTCATTTACACTCTTTTCAGAATTATCAGCATCATCCATTCTATAAACATATGAAACACATTTTACAAATCACAATATTTACCCAGTGTTCAGTTATAACAATAGTAAATGATACAATGAATCTCATTGTAACACATTAGCCACTAAAATGTTGTAAGTTTCAGATATTTTATTTCAAAGGCTGAGGTGGCAGAGACATAACAAATTGTTTTTAATAGTTGAATTAAAAATTAAAAGTAGTACCGGATATGTTTTTAAGAAAAATCATTTAACTGAAATGAAATCCAAACCAGCAACAATAAAATTCCGTTATTTGTAGTTACACAGAAACTCCAGAAATTTGATTTTAAACCAGCATCCCTCACAAATACTTAAACAAAAGGCCCACTTTCTCTTTTCATAAGGCACAGATACTGACATACTGGAAAGCTAATCTCTTCAACTTGATCAAACTCAGAACACTTGGTGTCTCTACAATAAGCCTAGCAGCTTACTTGTGAACACATCTCACCTAATCACCTCCTGAAAAAAAAAAAATCTCAGGGGCTAATATTGACCTGCTCCGAGTAAGCGGTCAGTGTGTACTGGAAGTTTCTCAAGATAACAGTAACAATATAAACAAACCCCTATGAGCTAAGACTTCAGAGAACTGGCCAGGAGTAAGGACTCCTGGTTTGTAGCTGCCTAGCTACAACCACCACAGTGAAAGACATTCTGGAGGTCAACAGCAGTCTAACACCAGAAACTCTGCAGGATTTGATCAAGTATTTGTTCAGCAAATTATTCGCTCTCTGTGAATTTCTCCAATAGAAACTGTTATCCAGTTCATATTCATAGGTGGATGCAAAAAAGAATGGACTAAGGGATGTTCTGTTTTAAACATGTGGGTTCTACTCAAAGAGTTTATGACTCTCCACTTATCAAGTGTCCAGTAATTCCAGATTAAATACCACCTCAACAGCATTGTAGATGCTCCTGGACTTACATGGGGTTGTGTCCCAGCACAGCCACTGTAAATTCAAAACATTCTAAATGAAATAACATATTGAATGTACCAATCTGTAAGCTCTGACAATCAGTAAGCATGTAACTTCTCCCTTTGAAGGCACTTCACTGCCTTCTACAAGATGGGTCCAAGAGCAAATTTAAGAGTCTTGGGTTCAGTCCACCACACTAATTTGGAAGAAGATGGAGCTCATCTGCCTTCAAATGATATATTCCTGGTGCTTTTGAGTAAGTTTTTTGTTTGTTTCTTGCAAAGGAAGAATCATGAGTCTATTCATCAGTCTCTGAACATTTTAAATGACCTACTATGATATGCAGATTTTCAGCAAGGTGACCAGAAAATAAAAATGTGCAAGGACATATTTGCCTCCCTCAAGGAAAGTATAGTCCAGTGGGAAAGAACACCACACAAACAACCACAAAACATTAGAGAAGTACCAAGAGCAAAACAATAGCAGAAGACACAAACAAGGGGGTGATGGAACACAGAAGGATCACTTAGACCCATTTTTTGAGAATAGACAAGAAGGGTGTTTTATAGATCACATGAGTAGGTATGTGTATGTATGGGGGGGGGTCCAACTCATTTGTTAAGTGAGCACATTAAAAAAAAGGTGTTAACTGAGAAGGAATGTGAGCTAAAAACTAAAGGTGCAGTACAGTATTGTAGAGAGTGAGCAAAGAATGTGGGGAGACAGCACTTGGAATAATAGAGAAAGCAGACAGCACAAGCCAGTCATGGAGAGAAAACCACACGCAGGTGGCTGTGGTCAGGCACCAACTCTGTGAAGACTGTAGTCTAGCCAAGGCTACAATCTCAAGTGAAACACCTGCAGATGACCAAGAGTGAGTCTAGGTGTGACACAACTAAAGGGCCGCTGAGAACCCAAAGGCACAAGAACTGCAAGGTTAAAGTGCTGGCTGGGTTATCTAGAAAAGCACTATCATTTCTGGGGATTGTAGCAGGAGCTGGGGTGTACAGCCTTTTTCTCTGGCAGGCCTCAGTTTTTAATAAGTTGGTAGGGGAGAGGAATACAGAGTATTTCTGAGAAGTTATCAGCTGACAACAATGAAGGCGTGAAAAACACATGGCCATTACATGGTACTAAACAAAAGGAACCCTGAAATCTACCAACTTCCATTTCTGAAAAAGTACTGAAGAGACATGCAGAGGACACTGTTCTATGAGGAGTCGGGTTTTAGTGTAGGCCAATTTCTTGTTAGTAGATGTTTTAGTATGGTCCCCTGAATGCAGTTTTTCCCTTGAATCTTAATTGACTGGGGGAAAAGTTCAAGAAAAATTACACCAATTGTTTAAAGATAAAACATTCATTTTAAATGTGCATAAAATGTAAGCATCCATAGTAAAGAATTTTAGTCATAAAAGTAACCCTAAGTTACACTACATAAAAATTCACTTAAAATGAAAGTAAGCAGTCCCCAAGGTAGGCTGTTGCAGTTTAAACTTGGTTCCACTACTGTACTAGTACTAAGGATTTGGCAAGGACCCCTGTCCCCCCACTCTTAAATGTGGTTTCTCTGTGTAGCCCTGGCTGTCCTGGAACTTGATTTGTAGATCAGGTTGGCCTCAAACTCAGAGATCCACCTACCTCTGGTGTTGGCAAGTTTAATGTGTCTGTAAGCTCAGGTGGGGAAAACAACCACACCTACCTAAAGACATTAAATGCTTATTTGTAACAGTGTTTAGCATGAACTGCCCCCCCCCAGGTATTACTGTATACACATTAGACAAATATGCCTATTCAAACACACCCTGTGGAGATGACTGAGCGGTTAATTAAGTTACTGAAGGAATACCATCAAAAGAGGATGGTTTTAGAACCAAACTGCCTGACTCAAAGTGCTGGCCAACATACCACAACTAGTGTAACCCTGGGAAAGGTGCTCCTCTACTGCCATTTTCTGCAGCTACAAAGACTGGATAATCAGTAACACGGACAAATCACAGGTTTGTTGTGACAATTAGATTAAATTCGCATGGAATGTGCTCACAGTAATTACACAAGAGCCCTGCTTTTGCTTCCTTAGCACAGAGTGCTCCCCAGAAGACTTCTTTCTGTGCACACCTAATACTCCTTGATATTAATATGCAATACCCTAAGTGATTCAAATATACTCATTTCCTCCCCCCCCCCCGCTCCCCCAAAATCTGTTTTTTTATGTTAAGTATAGCCTTTAACTTTAGGTATGAAATAAGTTCCATTAGAAATAGTGACATTATCTAGCTCTTAAAAAAACTATAATTTTACAAATTATAATTTCCTGATAAAAATGTTATCTTAGGACAAACGTTAACAAATCCTACACACCCATACAGCAGAATTCTATCTTCTTCAGTTCATCTTTCAAAACAAACTTCAGAAAACAAACGTTATAGTTTTTAGGGTTCCAAGGGCACCTCAGTGGTAGAGTGCCTAGCATGGGTCAAACCTTGGTACTACACAAGTCCCACAAGAAATGGGTATATAAATAAAGTAGCAAACACGGGTTCATTATCAACAGCTTTCTCTTAAGGCTGCTGGTTAAGAAAACTGGTGGTTTCTTAGACAGTTTACATGGACAACAGAGACTATATAAATCTATTCTTTACATTTGTATTTTACAATGTAACAAATGAATGTGCATAAACCTGTCATGACAAGTATTTACTGATAATCTATTACCAAGTATTGGTTAACATTTATTCACATTATCCAGGATCCAAGCTGAATATAAAGCAGAAACAACACAGGGGGGTTCAGCAGTCTGCTCACTTGTTAGGTTTTACTCTGTAAGCAACCTAGGTCTTGGGAGGATCTGGCACAATAAATACAGACATGGAACAACTTCAAAATAATAGGAAGTCAATAATTACCAAGCACTAGTGTTATTTTAACTTTCTCTTTCACAAATTTCTCCCAGAAAACAGGTAGGGTAAGGTGGAGTATCACAATGCAATCCAGGCTGGTTTGGGACTTTTGTTCCTCCTGCCTCAGCTTTGCAAGTACTGGGATTAGAAACATGCACCATCATAAGCAGCTCAAAGTCAGACAGGGTCTCACTATATAGCCCTACCTGGCTTGGAATGTAGAGAAATCTGCTCCCCTAGAGTTGGAATTAAAAAAATATAATACCATGTCTAGTTATCAACAGATTTTTTTTTCTTTTTAAAAAATTTTTGGCTTTTCAAGACAGAGTTGATGTGTAGCCCTGGTTGTCATGAAACTCATTCTATAGACTAGGCTGGCCTCAAACTCAAAGATTCTACCTTTGCCGATGAAGTGCTGGGTTTAAATGCATGCATCACCACTGCCAGCTAGGATAGTCATAATTTGGAACGATTCAACGTATCCATTAGCAAGCTAGACAATTGTTTTTTAAAAATACAATTCCTAAAAAATATATTAATGTTGAGCAAATGAATGCAGAGGAAGTAGTTAAATAAATTTTTTTACAAACTGAAATACTTTTTTTCGAGACAGGGTTGGTTTTTCTATGTAGCTTTGGCGCCTTTCCTTGAACTCACAGAGATCCACCTGCCTCTGCCTCCCAAGTGCTGGGATTAAAGGCATGCACCCCTACTACCCCGACCTGAAATACTTTTGAAAAAGAATTGATGTAGACTTAAGTTTGAATGGATCCCAAAGACCAATTAATCCTAGACCTAGCTTCTGACCTTACCTTTTCCAATTAATGTTCTAGAAATTAAATTTTAATGAATCAGAAATATCACATCAAAAGCACATCTTGGCTGGGAATGGCAGGGCATGCTTGGGAGGATGGCCTGAAGGACATGGCCAACCCTCATGGGAGTGGGGTGCATCTCTGTGGTAGAGTGCTTACTTAGGCTAGCATATGTGAGGTTCTGAGTTCACTCCTAGTACCAGGCCCTTCTCAATAATCTCAGGCTGAGAATGTGGCTCAGGGGTAAAGTACTAGTTTATTAACATCTGCAAAAGGGAACTGAGTTTGAGCCTTAATCCCTCTTCACCCCCTACAGGGATCTTTCGGGGACACTAGCAAAAAATATTATTTCAAACCTTAAGGGCACCTGAAAAGGGAGTCACAGTACAGCAGTCTGAAGAGGGATTTTAAAACCAGACTGCACAAATTTAAATGTGCCTATCACAGTGTGACCTTGAGCAAACTACTTTATTTCTCTATGTTAGTTTCATCACCCATAAAATACCAGCCATCTACCTCAACAGTATCTACCTCAATAGTATTGTTACAAGAATTAATGAGCTGCCATTTGATGATTTGAATAGTACCTGGTCGCTAATGACTGCAATTTTTTTTTTTTTTTTTTAAAGCTGAACTAAAGAAGCTGACAAATGTGCAGGCCATTACAACGAAAGCCCTTTGAGCCTTTGAGGAATTTTTAAACTATGTAATATATGTATTCTTTCTTAATTTCCTATTAGAATAGCTTCCCTGTAACTATAAGCTATTGAGTGTAACTACAAGCCATTAAAACACTGTTTGAGCACTATTGTCAAAATACACATAGTGCCTACTTTCATATCAAATTGTCACTTTCTTCATTAATTACTTTCAAATTAGCCACAATAGGACACAGAAAAAATATTCCATTTACACAATTTCTTTGGGGAAAGGGAGGGTAAATTAAAGACTACCATCAGTGTTATGTTCAATTGTCAGAGCCTAAACAAATGCATGTTTACAACTATAGTGTTATTTACACATGCAAATGTAATAGGGCTGAATCATCCTCAAAATGAACTCTCCCTTCAAATTAAATAAATGGACATAATACTCAGAACATATTACTAGAACACTTAGCTGTACAGCCGAAGACATCCATTGTACTGACTGAACTGACATCCTGTAACTGCCACACCGTGAACTGAGAAACATTAAGCTGAGTAGTTAAAACCCTATCTGTTCTCTGCTAAGCCAAGTTGTCACAACAAAACATACTTAACCAAAAAGAAAAAAAAAAAAAAAACCCGCTGAATTCTCTGTCAAATTAAGTAAGGCAAATGAAAGGGGAACTCAGGACTTCTTCAGCAAAGTCAAGTTATCTGGTAGCAAAGCTGTCCTCTATCACAAGTTGCTGGAGACGGTATCAAACGCTTTCCTAAAGAGGCTGGGAACACTAGATAATGCAAATGTAAAGGGGGGGGTGCATGGTCTTCAATGCCATTCTCTTTCAAGTTAAGCTTTCCTAGCATAAATATGAGAGAGAGAGAAAAAAAAAACTGCTCTTATTTAAGCAACGGCTAGCCTTTGACTATTTACTTGGTCTCAACTTTTATATTAGCTTAATTATAAACAGATTAGTATGGTTTAGAAGTAGCAACAATTCCCAATACTTCTCCCATATGTCTTCCTATGAACTGGGGCAAAAACTGTCAGGCATCAAAAACCAGATAGGCTACCTTACTTTGCCTCAAGTTTGAAAGTTGGAAATAAGCTGCCCATGGACTGAGAAATACCGGGTTGTGGTTGGAGCAGAAGGCGAAAGACTTCGCTAGCACAATTTCCGGGACAGTCGAAAAGTGTGACCCTAGCACCTCCATCTCTGCTCTTCCCATCAGCGGGACCGCAGGGATACTGTATGCGTTAGGAAAGCGGGGCTTGCCTTGCCTGCCGCCACTGCCCCTCGGGTCCCGCACGCGGAGGCTGAGACCAGAGAGCTCCACCGTCCCCAGGGGAGGCGCAGGAAGGCGCGACCTCAGGGCAGCCGCAGCCGCCACGCGAACTGGACCTGTAGAGGCCGCTCGTGCCGCCGCCTCCCGGGGCAACGACGCGCAGCAGGCCGCGCTGCCGGGGCCCCAACAGCCGCGGCCCCACGGGCAGCAAAGCCGGGGCCGCTCCCACGCCTCCCATCGCACCACCCATGGCGCGCGGAAAGGCAAAGTTTGGCAGTCGCCGTTAGGCCTGAACTTTCCCGCCCGTCGCGCAGGTCACCGCCGCCTCCCGTCCGGCGGCCCGCGGGCCCAGCTCCGACCCCCCCGCACAGTCCACTTACTCCGGCTGCTCCCGCAACGACGGGGCCTCCGCGGCGGCCATCTTGCACTTCCCGACTTCTCCGCCGCTCTGGCGGCGGATCCGTGAACCGTGGACGCCAGGGGAAGCGGAGGAAGAAGGGAAAGGCAGTCGCGCATGTGCACAGCACGTAGAGAAGAGCGGCACTCCGAGTCCGCGCTAAGAATCCGGATAGAAAAGCCCTACGTCCGGGGGCGGGACCGACGAGTGCCTTGATGTAATTTCCGGAGCCAGGGGGCGGAGCAAGCGGAGATCAAGGCCTTTCTAGCTTGAGTGACAGTCCCTATGGAAGCTAAGTGTTGACGTGCAGAAACTTGCTGGAGTAAGGAGCAAAGGGCTAGGGTGCTGGTACCGAGAGTGCATTTCTGGGAGCTGATTCTCCGTGAGGCCCAGAAGTGGGTGAAAATATCTGTCTCGTACTGCTGCCGATTGATTTGCTGAAAGCTTTTAAGCCGTCAGAATATCTCCCATGTCCCCCTTTGACCTTCTGTTCTTTGTGGTATGCTTTATATGGGAATCAAGCTTTGTTTTTGGAAGTGATAAGTAGGAAACAAATAATGGACGCTGTCTGATACCGAACTGTGGCCAATTTCAGATTTACATAAACCATTCTTAAAAGAGCAAAATAAACCAATCTAAGGAATTTGGGGCAAAATTTTCCTTTGAAGATTTTTTTTTCCCCCACCAAGTTCATTTCCATGTTATTATCAGTTTGAGAGCGAAATAGAGAAGTTTAAAACATCCCAAATTGCTACTGTTAACAGTTAGTAAAGGTAAACCAAGCGTTAGCTTAATCCTTCAGGAAACGTTTACAAAGTGACAGACAAGCCAAACAATTCCTTCTTGTACTTTTTCCACCTCGGGAGCCCTGGTACCGGAACGCCCTGATCCGTAGCCACAGTTTCCAAGGACCGGGGAGGAAGTGAACACTCCGAGGCGGAACCAGCTTCCCGGAAGTCTTTGGCCTGCTAGAAAGACGCATGCGTGCTTGCGTCCTGGGGAAAGCGTGGGCGTGTTCAAAGCGGGCGGCGGCGGCGGCTGCTGCCATGCTGCTGTGGCAGGCTGGCTCAGCGAGGCCGTGCCAGTTCCGGGCTCCTGCCCAGCGTGTCTCCGCCTCCCGGCCCCAGCCAGGACCTCTCCTCTGTCCGCAGCGTCAGTGGAGACGCTGGCGGAGATTGCGTCTGCGCTCTGCGCTGCCCTGCGGACCCCAGGTTCCCTCCGGTAGAGGTCCGTCCTGTCCGGTGACACGGTGGGGACGACAGCGCTTGGCACGCCGCGGGCCGACAATGCAGAAAGTTGCGGCTTTGGAGGCAAGCGCGTCTTTGTGAACGCTTCATCCGTTCCTACCATCTGTGCTTGCTTCAAGTGTTATTCTAAACGAGATACACATTCCTGAAATAATTGGAAAATGTTTTTGAGTTTATTCCCGTGGAAAGCTGTTAAACGCGTACCTTCTAAAAGACACAGTAGTCATCAATCCCAGTAAGCTCTTAATAGGCTCATTGTGACAGACTACCAACAAATTACCGGGATCGTAAAATATGTTGACTCTTGTAGTTACCAAGTGTCTTTGAAGAGTGGAGAACGCCATTTGGACGGCACTTGAGTTTAGACTTGGAATTTGGAGCTTTGAGGGAAGACGCAAAACTGATGTTAACAAGCATGAGGCATCATGCCTGTCTTAACTTAGCTTTTTTGTTGTTTTGAAGCAGTTCTGGTGCATTTATGAAAACGGGACAAACTCAAAGTAAAGAAAAAAAATCACCCTCCATTGCCCACATTGAACCAACAAGAATATGTTGGTTTGTTTTTAGCCTTTCCCTATGTGAAATATTAGATTCTCTGACTCTTGTGTACACAATGTCATAGTTTGCTCTCATGTAACAGTTCTCAATGCTTATGTCATTCTGGTTTGACCCACATCTTCTAACTACATTGTTGTCCTTGTTACTAGGTGTCTAGATTGTATCAACTTTGCACTATTATAACTATGAAGAGAAACAGCTAGAACGGTGTTTAGAAAACAAGAGTGCTGGCTGGTGAGGTGGATCAGATGCCTGCCAATAGGCCTGAGGAGCTAGGTTCGATACCCAGACTCCCTCGTGAATTGTCTTCTGCCCTCTATTCATGCAAAATAAGATATAATAAAAATGTTTTTAAAAAAACATAGGATTTATGTCAATAAAGGGCTTCATCATTTACCGTGCAACTAAGACTAACTCATTTTCTTATTTTTCTAGTTTTACCAATCAATAATAGGGGGATAATAGTTCTCATTGTAGAAAAAGGAAATAATGACCAAAATGCCTATATGAATAAATAGTAGTTACTAATAGAGAAAAGTATTTCTTGTGTGATTTTCTTTTTGGTGACTTATGATTTATTTTTATATTCTGTGTATAAGTACAATCATTGCATGGTACCTCCACTAAAGAAAACACAGAAAGTCTGTATTGCCTGCTGGTAACTGCACAGGGAATTTACCCAGATCACGCAGCCCCGAACTTGCTTGCTTGCTTGTTTTCTTTCTTTCTCTCTCTCTCTCT